TATGCCCCAAACCTTATTCTAATTATTAAGGCCCGTATGTTAACTTGAGTACCCAAGCCCAACAAAGGTTAACCTTTTCAATTATAGTTGGATTCTATAAGCCCCAAAAGGTTAAAGGTTACTGACTCAGCCCCTCAGTTAACGTCACTCTGGGCCCTAGACCCTCGAGCCCAAGGCTAACTGCAGTGCATGGAGCATAGGAGGTGCCGGGGTAATGCCACAATAGATAACCTCCGCCACACCGGCCGTGGCACAGGTCTCCAGCAAGGACACCACATTCCTTGGCAGGCTAGACCGAACCTTGCAAAACCAACTGATGTCAACTTCCAAAACCAAGAAGCCCGAAAAATCAACAGAGCCACCATAGACCCCATATACGCCCGGAAGTCGACAAATCAAACGTATCAAACCGGGCTCCAATTAGGTTGCCGACCCTCAACACGACGCCTGCAATGCGCTCTGAACCCGAAGTTCGAGCCCCTGCAGGGCAAAGCCTCAGCACCAAACGCAATAATCCCCCCCAAAAGTCCGTGTAGTATACGTTTAGGGTTTAGGGTTTCGGGTTTAGGGGTTTAGGGGTTTAGGGGTTTAGGGGTTTAGGGGTTTAGGGTAGGGTCCATGTACCCAAATGGTATATACTTTGGCCTTAAAGTAGTCCCTATATAGGTACTGTGGGGCCAAAGTATATACTATTTGGGCACATTGACCCGTAAGGGCCTGAATCACACAAACCGTCTCTGAACACTTTGTAAACACCTACAGAAAAGTCAAACCATGGCGCAACCGCTGCAAAACCCAACCAACTGCAATAGCACCCGATAAAGTTGAAACCGTAGTTGACAACATTGAAACCCAATCCCGAGTCCGAAGACTATCCCGCCCGTGCCCTTCGCGGGCAGTCCGGCGCACCTGGCGCTTGATGTCTGACGCAGAACCCTAAAGCCGCTTTGGACAATCTTTGGCAATAAACGATACGACGTTTGGACAGAACGACGCCCTGAACCAGCAAGCCAGCCAACTCGCCAGACACCAAGTCAAAGGGTCCTATGTGCCCTTATGGGGGGGAAACTTCCCAAAGTCATAATACCCTAACCTCCCAGGTACCTGCTATATAGGGCCCTAGGGGCTCTAGTACCCTATATAGTAGGTACCTGGGGGGTTAGGGATGCCCAAGACCGCAAGAGAGCCATGTGAGGGCCACACTCGGACGATCCCTCAGCCCGCAGCGAAGCGCCTCACTCTGTCGGCTTGATGTGGAATCTGTGTAAGGGTTTAGGGTTTAGGGTTTAGGGTTTAGGGTTTTAAGGAGGTTAGGTCTTTCGGGGCTTATAAGGCTTAAGGGCCCAGACTTCGGGGACTTAGAGCTTTTGGGTTTGGAGCTTCCGCCTCAGGGATGAGGTTTCAATTCGTCACCGGATGGCAAATGGAGAGCCCGCGTTCAAAAATCGTGCTGCTACTACTACTACTACTACTACTACTACTACAAGCAAGCCTCCGTCTGGTCAATAACCGAAACCTGGGAGCAACTTTGCCTTCTCTGGCAAACAGAATCCCAAGATCCTAAACAGTTCGCTGGGCTTCTACCTATAGTCTCCATTGGAGTTCCTTTTCTTGGTTAACCAATTTTATGGTTAGGATCCTAGAATATAAGTTTGGTTAACCAAAAAAAGGAACTACAATGGAGACTATAGGTACTAGTGCGGACAAGAAGCCAAGTCGTTTCTCTGCACACATGGCTCACAGGACATCGCTTGCTATACTCATGACAATGCGCGGGTGTTCGTGTCAGGCTGGAAACTAGCTGCAGCAGCTATTGAGAGGTTTCTCTTACGGCTGAATACGGTTATGTACCGTGGTCTTACCACTGGATCCCTGGTGGTAACACCAGCGAGCTGCTGTTTGCAACAGAGGCAACCAAATATGAAGGAATGGGCAGCCACACCCCAAGGCGTATCATTGAAACGAATGGTGACATGTGCGGCATGCGTAGATTCGGTGTAGGTGTGGTTCTGCGCATCTGCATTGTAAGCGACGCAAGTACGATGAGGCCCGAAGTGCAGTAAGACGATGGTTTAGACTGACCGAACTAACCTTTGGGCTGTCGGACATAATTTGCTGATGCCTCAGGAAATCTCAGATCCAGCTGGCTTTTGAGCCTAAGCGGATCTACGTCGCCAGCAACGTTCAAAAACCTCACACGCCCAAACTGTGGCATATAAGCTTTCTCTACAGCTACTGGCGCATTCCTTCGTGTTTCCCACACCCCTACATCACATTCAAAGGTCATCGCTGGACTCATGGCTCACAAGAAAAAGACTCGTCATACCCGTGGAAAACATTGACCAGGAGAGCAAGTTCTCTTGTGATTGGGCTACAGCTGCCGAGCTTCACCAGTGTTGCTTGCGGCTGAAAGAGGCTGCCTGCTCGAATGTTGCACCGCTTAATGTATGCTGGCCTCGGCACTTACACTGCTCATGCCCACTGTTTGCAAACAGGACAACCATCACACATGAGTAAGTGGAACATCTTCCTCGAAAGCCAAGCCACACTCAAAGGTGCGTGATCGAAGTTCATACCACCACTAGCATGGCTCTCGGCATTCCATCAACAAAGCAACAATGAGAACTACAAGTGACTCAAAGTGGCATCTAGCTCTGTAAGGGTGCAGTCCCAGTCTTCTGGACACCGGCAAGTCTTTTCTTTCGCGCTCACGAAAAGTGACCGCAGCGACAGAGGCCCGAAGGCCTTGTTCTCCCTGGCTCTGCACGGAAATCTGGTGTCTTACTGGGTTCTTGCTTCAATCTGTGGAGAGTTGCTAACTGTTCACATACGGATCTTGAGAGCGCGGTACTGGAAATCTGCGCTCATCTTCAGCATAATGCACTTTATGAGAATGCCGTAAGCGAGCCTTGCCGGCACACTAGTTCAGGTTGCCTGGAGAATTATGCGGATGTCCACAATCCCGAAACCTCAGTCTGAAAAGGCCATTTAGGTCATCATGGGCGAGGCTGAAGATCCCGAAGTTGAGGAACAGAACTTGCATCTCCAGGAATAATTCAACGCGCAGAATTGCTGGGTAGACGAGGCCTCGCTCAATGGCCGGAGTCAGGCGTAGAGGGCAATGCTGCAAAGGCTAGAACGCTAGAGCCGTGCACGTGATGGATGTATGTCTCATGAGACCACGTACGATGTGCACCTGCACGCAGATGTGAGTGTAGAAGATGTGCATGATATGACTAGAATGACTTTACAGCTTAGGCTTAGCCTCTGCCCGCTACATCACTGCCAGCGTTGCCCTTTAGCCCAAGGACTGGGATCTGACTGTTCATTGCCCTGCTAGGCAGCTTCCCGCCCCAAAAAATGAAGGGGCTCTGGCTCTGCCTGCAAAGCAACGAAAAGACGCCTGCACAGCGCATTTCGCTGAGTGCAGGGCGACTGTAGGGGCTGTAAGAGCTCTCCTAGGGATACACTACAAAGGCTACAAATCGACGGCACGTTGGCTGTCGGTCCGACGCGACCTTGCCGCGTGGAAGAGGGCGGCCAGGATCTCATGGCCCCATGCCGCCACTTAAAGGATCATGGGACTTTGTAAGTAGGGTTATAATTAGGGTAACTATACTTATAACCCCAATTAGGGGACTTATAACCTTACTTACTAAGTCCCATGATCCTCCAAGCATTGATACAATCATCCGGGGCCTAATTCAACGCCGCAGCCCGCAGTCCGAAAACCACAAGAGACCACCTCAAAGCTGCATCCGAAGTCCCCAAGTACCCATAGGCCCCATGGTAGTTCCCTTTTGAGATTACCTCATAGGATTCTACATACGAACCCCCAAAAAGGAATTACTGTGGAAACCCTATATCAAAGCCCTGTATGTATTATGTCCGGATTCCTGAAGCCATCAGGAATCAGGACGTGAGGCTGGTCTGTGGCGGCTGCGCCGGTCTTTGCCTCATCAGCATAGCGGCGTGGAGTGTTTTTTCGCTTTGTGGGAGCGGAGGAGGTTGTTACATTCGGGGATACCCAGTACGAGCTTTGGAATATTGAATATCACTCAGGATGCTTTCAGCCTCCTGTTTCTCTCCATTCAAGCAGCGCTGTGGTGAGTGCACCTTCCATCCCAGGCCTCTCCTGTCATTCAGTCCGAAGCCAGTCAATCGACTTAGCAAAAAACCTCCACCACAAGGGAAATGCTGCTCTGGGGCGATGGCTGCGCTTCGGGCATGCTGATGGGCGAGGGTCGGTAGGTCCCAGTCTCCGCAGCCTCAATGACACGGGAGGTCGCAATTCTGAAACTACCGAGGCTGTCCTGTGGGAAGTGCTGGGAGCCCTCTTCAATGTGGAGTAGAAGGTGGAGTCTTTGAGTGTGGAAAAGCAACACAAGCTGTGGAGCTCATGACCCACAGATCCAACATGAACAAGTCTTCCTCGGATCGCAAAGCCTCCCGGCAGCCTTGAAGCACAGCGCAAGATAAACATTCCCAGGCACCTGAAACCATCAACTCCACATGCCTTCCACAAAAAGAACGCAGCTCCTCTAACTACATCAGGAACCTATGCCGCACCTCGCCCTGGACCACACCGCTTTGGGCTGGCCTTCGAACCGACCTCGTTGTCAAAACGATGTGGAGATCAAGGTGTGTTGGGGGGCTCCGGAGCTCAAGGCCGTTTCATTCAGGCTCTCAAGGGATTACTTCAAGCCCCTGCGCGGTCCGCCTGCAGCAAGATAGGCCCCTAGACAACGTTCCGAAGTATTCACCCGCAATCCGACACAACGATCCAGAAACCTAGGAAACTGCACACCTCCTTAGTTATCAGCGCAGGCCTGCGCTGGGCCAGAACTTCCTCTATCTGCGGGTTCACCGCCATCCAAACCCTGGCAGCAGGGGCTTGTGAGCTACAAGCTTCAATGATAGTTGTTGAAGCAAAATGCGGCCGGTACACCACACACACTGCAATCTACATCCTGCCTTCGAGCATGCACTTGTGCACTCGAACAGCCGTAATCAAATCTTAGGCGGGAACAAGGGCCACAAGGAGCAATGCGCTACCCGTCTGCCCTTCCACTGACGTCATGTCACAAAGGGAACGTCTTTTGTATATTCTGTGAGAAAACTGTTCCCTGCAGGATCCCTTACGTGCGGAACCCTGTTCTAAACTGGAGACAAAAGCCCGGCAATGCTTCTAGCCGTTTACAAGGCTGCAACGAGGCAATCGTGGACAAGTTCATTCATGAAATCCTATTAACCATTAACCATTTCATTAACTGCTGTGTT